CATTAGGAATTTGCAGCTTCCTCTCCACATTACATTTTCCCCTTTTCTCTCTCTCCCTTCCTTCCTTTTCTACTCTGTGGTTCTGGGGCTCAAACCTGGACCCTCAGGCCTGCCAGGCAAGCTCTCTGCCCTGAGCTGCGCCCCAGCCCTGCTCACGTGTTGAATGCTCACAGGGGCCCGATTTGACCCATGCAGTCTCTGCAGTTGCTGCACAGCACAATGTAGGTAGAACTGAGATGTTTTTCTGCCCAGAGGAAGGTGCAGTGTTTCCCCCTCCTAATGGCAATGGGGACAGGGCCTCACTGAGACTGCACAGAAGGCTGTTGTCTCCCCGTGCATGCCCATCACAGCCAGCCCTTCCAGCAGGGAGAGATGCTCCTGAACGAGCGGCACATTGGGCTCATGTCCGACCTTTATTGTGGGCCTGGCTTAGCCTTCTGTGGGGCAGCTCGGCCTCCTTCCTGAGGATCCCCAGTGTTCCTGAGCAGCACTCTGCCCCCGGGTGGCCACCCAGTGCCAGGCCCGGCCCGCCTCAGAGCTCCTTTCTGCATGGCCCTGGGGCCTGGCCTGTGTCTCCTGCCACTGCAGGAGCCCTTCTGCTAATTTGCTTCTCTGTGCTCTGCCCGCAGGATCTTGCCGAGCCACATGGCCTGCTGCTTCTGCCAAATTAAGAGTGATATCGAGGCTGTGTGCCCGACAGTCAAGCTGCGCTGTGACGGCGCCTGTCTGTCCAACACCATACAGTGCCGTGAGTCTCCTGAGAAACCTGAGAGAGCCCTTGGTGTCATTTTTATTTGGTTTTCACTTTTTGATCTTGAGCTGGCAGAGTTACATGGGGTTGTTTTGCTTTTTTTTTTTTTTTTGGTACCGGGGATCGAACTTGGGTCCTTGCGTTTGCGCAGCAAGCGGCGAAACCATTGAGCTAAATCCCCGGCCCAGGAGTTACATGTTTAAGTAATGGTGTCCTTGCTGTAGTTGTCCTCATGCAGCCTGACTTTCTAGGCTGCTGCCTTGGTGCAATCACATTCTCAGTTCCTGTCCAGGGATTTAAGCAGACCACTGTGGCACATGCGCAAGGAACAAGAATGAGAAATGGAGGGAAGGGAGCAGGTTCTCAGCCACAGACCGCGTGCTGCTCTGCTCGGTGTCCTCCTTGGTTCCTCGGTCCTGAGGCGCAGTGCAGTTTGATGGCTGGCTGTGTGTGCAGCGGCTCGCCAGTGGTGCTGCCTCATGGGGCAGCTCTCGACCGATTGGGCTTCGTGCTATTTTTCAGTCTTATAAGAGGATAAGGGCTGCCATTCTATGTGGAGCCGGGGGTTTCTGACTCCACAACTGAAACTGCTCCCGGCTCCGGGAAGGGCAGCGGTTCCTCCACGCCCAGGCTGTCACTGTCCCTCGGAGCTCGCTCTGAGCCTCAAGATTTCCCCCCACACATGACTCTGGGGTGCTCAGGTGTTTGCCCATCGGTCAGCCTTGTTGGTGCCACAGAATGGTGCCAACCTGTGCCTGCTTGCTCACGCAGACGGCTGGAGTGCAGGACTCTACTGGTGCTCTGGGACACACAAGGAATCACAGCACTTTGGTGCTTATATAAAAGCAACGCTGCTTGCTTTTCAAACCATTTTTCACTGAGTACATGTTCCCTTCTCTCCCGGAAGTGAGTCGCACAAGAGTTTCTCGGCTCCATTGACAGAGGAGGAGGAGGAGAATAAGATGGGTGTTGAGTGCTGGGGCCCGGATCTCTGTCCCCAGATCAGGCTCTCCACAGCCCCACCCGCCTCCTTTTCTCCCGATTCCTGTCACCTGCTCTGATGCGCAGGACCCTAGGCCTTACTTCTCCTGGGAGAGAGACCCAGTTACACAGGGTCCCCTTGACCTCCGTGCAGTCAGAAGTTTGGGTGGTTCCCCAAGTGCAGCTGGAAATGGAAGCAGGGAAATGGAAGTGAGCGGGCATCTGACAGGAGTGGTTTTTTGTCTTGTACAGTTTAGGAAGCAGTCACATG